AAAGACGTGACAGAGCAGTGTAGACACTCCGGCAATTCCACAGAGAGGCTAACCTGCTCTGGATCGAATGATTTTCCTATACAGTGATTCCCCCTTAGCCACGGTTTCTCTTTCCACAGTTTCAGCTACCCACAGTCCACCTGGGTCAGGAAGCAGATGATCCTCCTTCTGATGTATGGTCAGAAGGTCGGTAGTAGCCTAACGCTACGTCCCAACACCCACATCATTCACCTCATTTCAAGTCAGCACATGGGCATTTTGTCATCTTGCATCATCACAAGAAGGGGGAGTACAGCCCAATAGGTATTTTGAGAGAGAGAGAGAGAGAGAGAGATCACATTCATAAGGCTTTTATTACAAAACACTGTTGCAGTTATTCTATTTATCACTGTTGTTGTTAATCACTTACTACCTAATTTAGAAGTTAAACTTTATCATAGGTGCACACAGGTAGGAAAAAACACTGTCTACATAGGGTCTGATACACCTGCAGTTTCGGGCATCCACTGGGGGTTCTTGGAATGTAATCCCCTTGGATAAGAGGATGCTGCTGTGCTGTATTAGTGTTCTTCAAAACCACGGTGTAGGTGGGCATTCCTCACATTCTGTCTGTAAGTTCCCCCAACATTTGATAAAAATCAGATGGAAGTCTTGGTGCTGTTAGAACTGCAAACTTCATATTAACTCGATTTAGGAAACTTTATCCTAATTAGGGATTTTGTGGGGTTTTTTAGAGAGGGAGAGAAGATGAGGGAGATGGGCAGAGGGAAAGGGAGAGAGAGAATCTTAAACAGGCTCTATGCCCAGTGCAGAGCCAGACATGGAGCCTGATCTCACGACCCTGAGATCATGACCTGAGCTGAAATCAAGGGTTGGATGCTTAACCTTCTGAGCCACCCAGGTGCTCCTATCCTAATTAGGTTTAATCTTTGTCATGTCATCAACATCAAGTGAGAAAACAGGTACTGACCACAGCCCTTGGTTCTACAGTTAACACTGGGTAGAGGTTGAACAAATATTTGTCAAATGAATAAATGAAGGAATGAATGATCTGGGTTCTCCTAACATTCTGAGTTGTCTAATGGAGAGAAGAGGTTTTGGAATCAGCCAGACTTGGGAGTGAATCCTCGTTCTGCTGCTTGATACTTGCATTTTTTTCAAGTCCCTGTGGGCTCTCCACTGTGAGAAGGGAGGCAGCCCAGGAAATGTAGCTGTATTCACTTCCTATTGTGGCTGCAATTAGAACTACTCACAAATAGTGGTTCCCAAAAAAAAAAAAAAAAAAACCAACACAGTTGTATTATATTTGGTTCTGGAGATTAGAAGTCCAAAATGGATTTCACTAGGCTAAAATCAAAGTGTTAGTGGGGCTGTTCCTTTCCAGAAGCTCCAGGGGAGAGCCCATTTCCCTGTCTTTTCCAGCAGCTAGAGCCCGCCCACATGACTTGGCTTGTCATCTCTTCCTCCATCAGCAAAGCCTGCAGTGTAACATCTTTAAATCTCTTTCTGACTCTTCTACCTTCTTTTTCCATCTGTAAAGACCCTTGGGATGACATTGGGCACACCTGGATAATCCAGGCAAATCTATCCATCTGAAGGTCCTTTCCTTAATCACATCGCAAAATTCCTTTGCCATGCAAGGTAAACTACTCAGAGATGCCAGGGATGAGGGCATGGGCCTCAGTGGGAGGTCATAATCCTGCTACCACCACAATCATCAAGGCTGCACTTACCAGATTTGTTCAACAGTGGTGGGAAGTACCTCCATTTCTCCTCAGGGTACCACAGAGAACACATCAAAAGTACTCCCTAGGGAGTTCCCCCCCACCATGAGAGCAGTGTCTATTTGTTTTTTTGGGGGGAATCTAGCTCTGCCTGGTCTTTCCACAGTAGAGCAATGGAATGGTCTGGGCTTTCCCTAGGACTCCTCAATTTTTATAAGATAGTGTCAAATCCACCTAGTTTGGTTGAGTATTCAGATATGTGGATCTGCACTTGGCCAAAAGTCTTTCCTCTAATGGTCACCTTGAACTCAGTGCTGCACACCATCTATCAAATCTTGGTTGAAACACCATTCAAGGAGACCCACTCACCTGAGTGTTGAGCTGTCCAATGACACCTTTAAACTCTCCAGAGGTTAAACCAGGCCATCTCCTTTTGGCCCCAGGATATTTACTTTCACAAAATATTGCTTTACTTTGGTGCTATTAGATGACATTTGGGGCACATCATAAGCAAAAGCATCACGGAAATAGTTGCATTTACTATAACAGTTTTGCGGAAGATGGTTTATCGCATGTCAGCATACGTTTCTTATGAGAAACCACAGAGAAATACTTCCAGTCTCAGACCCAGTACTAGCTGCGGTTCCCCTGCTAATTGGTTTGTTTCCTCTTAAATGAACACCAGCTCAAATGGCTGATTGTTTTTCCCTCTTTGCACTCACTATTAGGAAGGAAGAACTTTAGGACATCAGAGTCCACATTATGGGCACCCACTTATCTTGCAACCTCATTGTCTCTTCCCCCTGTTTGCCTTTATCTATTTTGCATTTTGGGTCTTATTCTTTTAATGTCTAGAAGCCCAGAATAAGGCATGATAAAAACTTTTGTTATTTTCCAAGATTTTCTTCCCTTTTGTGAGACACATGCCCCTGATACATTCCTCTTTGTTCCAGGAACAAACTCAAAATGAAACACACACACACACATACACACACGAAAGGAAACATGTTTAAACACTGGGCCCCAGCCAAACTGGGTCCAGCACCACTATAGAGACTGGAGTTTATGTTGACGATATGAAAACAAGTCTCCCAAGTCTCTGTCTCCGGTATGCTGAGCACGCTGAGACCATAAATGCCAGCATTCTAAATGGCTTGCTTGCTGTTAGTAGATTCGCTGGCAATGAAATCCATTTCTTTTCTAAGGATGTTTAGCTTTTATTATATCTTTACTCATGGTCAGGAGACATCAGCACATTTGCTAAAGCGATGGAAGATATTCCTCATAAGGCATTCCTAAAGTTTCACATCTTTGCCTTCATGTTTTCGTAAGAGAGTCTGTCCTTTTGGAAAGGAAAACAGAAATGTGCTTTACACCATGTAGGGTTTTGATAGTTGTAGAAACCCAAGATAAGAAAAAAATTGATGTTGGGAGAACAGTGAAAACATCTTCAAGATAGACCCCAACATACAAGCTCATTTCTGAGCTCATCAAACCACAGAATCACCAGTACTGAGAACAAACCCTATTAAAGGGTGTATTAGGAATGTCTCTTTTTAATCTCTAACCTATAAGAATCCAGAATATGGTATATATTCAATAAATACTTGCTGAATTAATGAGTTAGACCTCTCATGCTCAGAAAGACTGAAGTTCTACTCCAGTCCCAGTAGATTGCGATGGGAACACAGTGCTTTCAGTGTGGCAGCCATGCAATATGTACTGTCAGACTGGCACTGAGATATAGCCAAACCATAGAAGAAATTTCTGCCATCTCTAAACTGCAGGGCAGGAATTTTGTATTTCCATTATTTCTCCCCTTATCAAAGACACACCTGATAGGTGATATTTGCGTATTCAACCACTCTCACAGCTATTCTTAGGTTCATGTGTAATTCCCAGTGTGCGAATACAATCTCCATTCACCTCTCCCACTCAAGAAAATATATCAGAACACGAATGAATAAAGATGTCATTAATATGGGAACAACCTAGGATCCATGGCAACTTATTGAAGAAGTAAGTCATCTACCATTTTGGCGTTTCAGATAATATTAGTCGTATGTGACTTATGAGGCATCACACGATGACTGACATCACAGCTTATTGTGCTACCAAGACTGAAACCATCTCTGAGACCCATTGAGTCCTCATATGCCATCTTGGAGACCTTTCAAACTCCAGAGGTTCATCCTACTCCCAATGGATGGGGAGCTCTGCCAGGCATGTGAGCTTCATCCAGAACCACAGAGATCATCACTACTAATGGACATAGCTCACACAGGAATGCCACTATCAACTGGATATGAGTCCACTTTCACCCTTATGATTTTGAGGAAAAGGATGCACAACCAACCAACTTACCACGCCGCCACCAGCTGAGTGCACGAGCACAGACATCCCTTCTCGGAGATTGGCAACTTCAAAGAGCATCATATAGGCTGTGACGAAGTTCATGGGGAATGCAGCGGCCTCCGAGAAGCTCATGTCATCTGGGATCTTGTAGACAAACTCCACTGGCGTGCAGACCACCTCTGCCCAGGCATTGTAATTGACAAATGCCATGACACGGTCCCCGATCTGGAAATGGGGAGGTACAGGGTTAATGGAAACTTATTACTCTTTTTCTGAAAGATTTCTCAAATCCTCTCAACTTAAGAGGTTCCTAATAGATTCCTTTCCTGAAAACACAACAAAACAACCAAACCCTCAAATATGCACCCCCTCACCTGCCTCCCAATTCCAAAGCATTTGTGGATGCTCTGAAGCCCATCTATGAAAACTTGCCAGGGACTACAGAAGCCAGGTTCTCTACCCTTCTTCTCAAGCATAACTATACAATGCTGTCACATCACACACCAGGCCATGTTCGTGTCAGAAGCTCATTTTACCCAGTCAACCTCTCTTCCCATCTCTGTTTGGGAGTTGAGGAAAATTAAGCCATAAGGAAGTTTAAATGGGCAGAGCTGGGAATAAAAATCACTCTCATTCGTTTTCTGCTGCTCCTTAGGGATTCCCTGCCAGGCTAGTTTATTAGGGTATTTGCATCACAGGTTAGCTCTGAATTACGGATCACAGTAGATGTGATCAGAAGAGCCATGTAAATCTAAGTGCAGAAGACTAAACAAGAACAACTAGACTTAGAGCAAAATAGGAGGATACCGTGAGGTGTGAATAACAACTAACCCTTTTTTGGAACACATACCATACAATAGGCATTGTCCTAAGGGCATCACATGCTTTAACTCATCTGATCTTTACAAAACCCCTAGGAAGGCATGAACAAATACTGTGTTCTTTTTTATCAGTTGTTTACATAGCCAGACATCATGCAAAAAAATAAAAAATAAAGCATTCTTCCCTATAGAGTGGTTACCATGGCATGCTAAGCTTTTCCATATCATTATTAAAGGGAAATACAAATGAGTGAACTGATCCTAGGAGCTTGTGTGAACTGCCAAGTGCTGGTGAAGTCAAACCACTCTGCTCTTTGACATTAGTTGCTTGGACTGCGACTTTCAAACATAATCTTCAAACTGCTGTGGTCAGAGTGAATTTTCAATAAATGAATGGCTTTCATACTGGTGTGCTTTAGTTTTTATATATTTATAACTGAGTCTCCTGTTTTATTTTCTCTGAAGCTTAGCACTTCTCTTCTTCCCTACTCAACAAACAACAACAAAAGCCTCCTATGAGATGGGTCTATAAGAGCTCACATTACAGATGAATGATTATAGATTTTCCAGACATTGAAATTGAGGCTGAGAGAGATGAAAGCACATGCCCAAGGTCATGCAGCTAGGGAGTAGCTGAGCAAGGATTTAAGTCTGGCAAGGCTGACTCCAAATACAAGTGATTAATTCATCACACCTGAGGTAGGCGCTACAAAGAAGACATGGTTCTCTAAGGGTGTACACCAGGGGGACCTACCACCTCTGGGAATATTAGTGTAACTCTTTACGTTTCCTCAACTGTAAAATAAGTATATTAGGAAAGGGTCCTTATGGGGAGATTAAGTAACATAATATGCATGCAGTGTATTTGGCATGGTGCATAGAAAGTGAGGAAAGAACACTCAGTGTTAACTCTTAAAAAGAACAGACTGGTTTCTCATCCCATAGAACTGATGGAAAGGAGAGGCTGCCCCCCTGGCAGGGAGTCTCTCAATCCCTGGAAGGGTTGAAGACCAAATGATGAATGTTGGGAGTTACCATTTTAAATGCAACCACTTAGACCAGAGGATAATCAAGGCAACACTGGCATCCTTTTTTTTTTTTTTTTTTCATAGAATCATGCATCCAAAGGTACATAACATCATGGAGTATCATGGCCCTGTGCCAACACAGAGGGCAGTGAAAAGTAGCTCAATCACCTTGACAATGATGGTCACAGCCAGCACACCAGGGTTGACCACTCCAGGTCTCTCATTCAACTTTGTTCCATCATTTCATTATAAAAATGGCAAGAGTGGCTTAGCCATCACATCAGCCCTAACCTGAGTCCAGAGGTAGGCAGCTTTTTTTTTAATATCCAATTCATCTCATTATTTGATTTTGTTAATAAAAAGATATTAGTCCTGGGTGACTGAGCCCCAATTACTCCTTTACTGCTGTGCCTCTGGAGACAACTTTGCAAGCCTTTGCAGTAGATCAAATCAAGAGAGCTATTCAGTGTACCGCCCCGTGAAATTCCATCTCTGACATGACTAAAAATCTTAAGTCAAAATTATAGAGGGAGGGCAGACCAGGTGGCTCAGCGGTTTAGCGCTGCCTTCAGCCCAGGGTATGATCCTGGAAACCTGAGATCAAGTCCCATGTCAGGCTCCATGCAGGGAGCCTGCTCCTCCCTCTGCCTGTGTCTCTGCCTCTCTCTCTCTCTCTCTCTTTCTTAATAACAAATAAATAAATAAAATCTTTAAAAAATTATAGAGGGAATATTAGTATTGGTTTTCCCCCAAGTCACACCCTGAAAGGAAACCTGGAGGTGGCTTCCTTCATTTGTTTGTGCAGCTAAAAGTCACTGGAGGGGAGTGGGAGTGAAGGTAGGATTGACAATAAGTAAGCAAAGCCTAAGCATCAGAAAAAAGATCATATATAAGGGAAAAACACATAATCAAGCATAGTATGTCCTCCTTCTAAACCGAGGCCAACAACATCCCCATCTACTGTTATATTCTAAAACAATGGATTATTTATGCAATGCTCAGGATTAATAGCATTAGTAGCATGATCTTTTCCTTTGGGACCAGGTAGAGGAGCGAAGAACAGATAATATTTCTCATATGCAGCACTTTCAGGGAGCATTGGCGCTGCCTCTGGTAATATTGCTTACCTGGGGACAGAAAAATGCAAAGTCATATGAAAGAAAAGGAAAGTACATTTACTTCTTAACACTTCTCTGCTGTAATATCTGGAAACCAGTGACATAAAGACTGATGTGTGGGATGAGACTTTCAGACATTCATCACAGTGAATTTGGAACATACGGATATTTTCAGAGTATGTTGAGGCTCAGACGCACTGAGCCTGAGTGGCGGGCTCCAATTTGATGCCAAGGGCATTTTGGCATTGCATTTATAGGATTTTCGTCTCTGCATTTAGCCCTGCAGCTTTTGCAAGTTGGAAAGGGGTGAAGATCTGGTGACTTGAATCCATGTTTGGCTATATTTCTGACTTCACCGGAAACAACTGTACCCTTCTGAACCTCACCTCCAAAGGGATAATAACAATCTTTACCTTGCATCATTGTGGTAAGGCGGAAGAAGGATGACGTGTCCATGTTTCTGGTTCTGGTGGATCCTCAAATGTTAGCTCTATTCATCTCTCCCTGGGGAAGCACTTAAGTTATGCGCAAGAGCTCTCGTACCTGATGGGCATTGGTTTTTCTCACTCCAAACTGCTGCAATTTTGTGCAATTGATTTGCCCACAGTTTTTCAGTTTTTAAGAGACTGGATTCTATTTGATTTGCATTACAGTGGTAGGAAGGGTCATATATCTTTTCATCGATTAAAAATTTTTTATTATGGAGAATTTTTAACACATACAAAAGAGCCAGGAAAATAAAATAACCCTTTTTATTCATTGCCCTATTCCCAAAGCCATCAACCCATGGCCAATTCTGTTTCACTGGAAGGTGCCTCTACCCTATGCCTTTAAAATCATCTTTCAAAAATGTCACTTCCCCAGTGTCTGAAATAATCATTTATAAATGATTTCTTAAATGCATCAGTTAAGCAGATATTTAAAGGAACCAGATTATGAAATACAGGGATATTTCTCCCCATTTCTCTTACATGTTTTGTAGCTGGTTTCTGAGCCTGAGGTGGTGGGAAAATGGGAGCCATGGGTAGGGTGAGGGGGTATGCACACCTAGTTAATCCAAGGCCAGGTATTCTTATTAACAGCTGCCTTACATGAGCAAAGGGAAGACAGATTTTTTTTTTTTTTTTTTTAGGGAAGACAGATTTTGCCCTGGCCACTTCACCAGGCTGTTCCCAGGAGCAACCAAGATGGTACACGATAAAGGCATGAAGCATGTGGAAAATCCTATCATTTATAAACATGTTAATAAGACCGACCAATAAGACAACAACAATGACACACACCATAGATTCTCTCGAACATTTTTTTCATCATCTTTTATTATCTCAACAGATTCCAAATAGGTATTACTTTTTTCCATCATGAGTTGAAATATTACCTCGTATCCTTTCACGCTGTCCCCCAGAGCTTCGACAATCCCAGAACATTCAAATCCCGGCACTAGGGGAGTCTTGGGAGGGTTGTCGATGTTCCCCTGTCGCACCATCAAGTCAATGAAGTTCAAACCACTGTGAACAGCAGATGTGAAAAGAGAGACATTCCAAATGAATCCAACGGAACGCATGGGCTTGACTTTTTTTACATTCCCTTTTTGACCCTCTCTCCCCTTCCCCCCGCCGTTCCTCTCTCCTTTCTTTTGTTTCTTTCTGGTAAAATATGTCTAACAGTAAGTCATTTGGCTAGATGTCACTAAGAAAGCAAAAACAATGATCTCTACAAACAGGGAATGCTTTCCTGGCAGTTAGAATGACCGTTGCAGATGTTACCCTCTGATTTAAACGACAGCCCCCTTGGCCCCATTCAGAGCCTGCTAACTCTTCCTCTAATAACACGAGTCGGCTAGCCTGGTCATTAGCCATGCTAGCACTTCCTCAAGGGTAAAGAACATACTAGGAAGAAGTTATAAGAAGACACATGGAAAGCAGCCAGACACAATGGCCATCAGCCAATCTATGAGAAAGAGAAAGAGAGAGAAGACAAATTTAAAAGGTCTCGAAATAATTGATACACAATTAGTCATTACACAAACTCATCCCAGCATTGTGCCATACACAGCACCCATAATGGCAAATACGAGCCATCGAGGGACTATGTTACATCCAACTGGGGGAGTGTAAGTGAGATCAAATGGATGGACCAATGGATATGGTAATACTGGAACGTTTGCTTCAAAGATCTTAGTTCTCTCTGGCTGAAAAAAGTGACTAGGTCTCTTCGATTAACATACTACTTTTGAAACAGGAAAGTTACCATTAAGATATATTAAGCCATCACCTTGGAAAGCCATATACGTGATTTTAATGTAACATCAGTGCTCCAAACTGTTGTTAACTTTTTAAGAGCTAGTCTTGGAAACTGCGCTGAACACTCATTTACTAATCAAATGAGAAAACACATCCCACTGAACGTATATTTTTTTTGCCAGATGTTCTGATGTACTTCCTGTTTTCATAATCCACCATTTTTTAAGGATTTTATTTATTTATTAGAGAGCATGCACAAAGTAGGTAGAGTGTATAAGCCGCCATTCTAAGAAAGACTTGGGTTATAGAAAACAAACTGCTTAGTCTGGCCCAAGGTCCATTAGCATCTGGCCACAGCTTCTTTTCCAAGCAAGATGATTCAAAGCTTGCTCATTCCTTCCTCGGCCTCTTTGGAGAAAAGGAAACATCAAATTCTACCTAAATCTCCTGGTCATTAGTCTCACCCATTGAAAATGGGTAATGATGAGGAGATGACTTCCTTGAAAGGTGGGTTCAAGAGTGGCCACCTTCTCAAGGTTTTCCTGGCCACACATCAAGCAAGTTTCACAGTGGCCCTAGCTGAAGTATCTCTAATGTGTGTCCTCCTCAAAGGCAGATGAATGCCTCATATTTCTTTGTTTCCAGAGTCCCCGGCATGCATCAGGCCCACAACAACATACTAAGTACTCAAGTTAACATCTGCCAAATGAAGGAATATTCATGAGTATTCAAACAGAGGTGCTGCCAGTTTGAGTCCTAACTCCTTTCAACAAGTGGCCAAGGGGTGCTCGGAGTAAGGGACATGTTGCTGGAATGTGTATGTAGACCTCCAAAGATGCTACACTTTGATTGCTAATAG